AACTAACTACGTACTTATATATACTAGTATATATATATATATATATATATATATATATAAATGCACATTTGGCTATTAGTCACATTGTAAGAAATACATTTTAATTGAAATTCATAAGTTTCAGCACGAGAGTTTCGTAGAAAATACTTTAGAGGTAAAGTTGAAACTTATTTCGTATTACTTGATTAGGTTATCAAATATTACGAAGAGCTCGAGAATGCTGACATTGTTTTTCGGTCGACCATAGAGAACCTGGACACTTCTTCTAACGGAGATTTGACCCAGTTCAATAAAGCTTTTTCTGTGTATGGAGCAGGATCTTCAAACACTCCAAATAAGTACATACGTAACCTGTGGAAATTAAGACATGAAGTTGTAAGTAAATATATTGTTTCCTGGCCGTCATCTTTCTTTGAAAATTTAGGTTTTTTGCAAAACAAAACATAAGATAGTTATTTATTAGTTTTTATGACATAAATAACGAATAGATGGCGTAGTTCAATATGATATTTATTATCACAAAGTGATGTATGCACGCATTATATCTTTGATTATAATGATATTACTTAAGAAGACGTTAATAAAGTTCTTTTCAAATTATGTTGATCATAGAGTGAAATAAAAACAAGATAATGTTATCTGAAATAATAAGATTGTTCTCAATATAATGTTTAAGATGGATATTTCTCTCTTCTGGTATTCTGGCGTAATGACTCTTGAAATAAATTATAAAACCAATCTAAATTATTAATAATCAAATTATTCCTTAACTAGCGAAAGTACCCGGCTTCGCCCTAGTTATTAGATTGATACTGTGTATATTCTGAACCCATTTTACCATAAAAGTATAATCTATATACTTTTGTTGCTAAGTGACATGACATAAAAGCCATTGTTAGAATGCATTGTTACCAAAACGCACTAGCTTTTTTTATGTATTAGAAGTTGTTATATGAGGAACCACTTCTTTTCTAGCTAGCTTGCCTCATTAAAAAGATGCGCACGCACATGCGCGCACACACGTGGATAAGATAAGTAATAATACCAGGTGTACACCCTCATGAGCCACTTAGTATGGGTGCAAAATTTCAGGTTTATAGGCTCTTTTCTGTTGGAGCTATGACGGTTACACATACACAGACACGCACGTGCGTTACTGTCTGTGATTTCTATTTATAATACAAGGAACCACTTTTTTCTATGTTGTTTTTTTCGTTAGCTTGCTTCATTAAAAAGGTGCACATACACACACGCACGTGGATAAGTTAAGTAATAATACCCAGGTGCACACTCTCAGGGTCCACTTAGTATGAGTGCAAACTTTCAAGTTTATAGGTTCTTTCCTCATGGAGTTATGGCAGCCACATAGGCACGCAGACACGCCCTTTTATTATTATAGATTGGGTGTCTCTAAAAATGGTGTAGCAGAAGGTTATAGTATCTTACGTCAATGGTTCCCAAATTATTTAGTTTGAGGCGCCCTAAGACCTTGGACACTTTGCATGAAGACTCCAACAAACTGGTTTTATATAAATCTTAAATAATAGCAACTGTAAGGTAATTTAATTTAACTTTTTTCTTTTAAAAATATCTAAAAAATAGATAATGTTGTGCATTCATATGTTTTGCAATAAATAAAATTCTAGTTAGAAATATTGTGCCAGGAAATTAATGAGAATATTTTACATGCGCTGAAGATTCCCCGAAATAGTCTTGTGAACACTAGTTTGAGAATCACTGTCCTGAATAATTGTTACAAGAAGGAAAATTAAAACGTATACGAAACCTTAGGTTATATGTCCCCTTAGTTTTTCAATATAAAAAAAAAAGATTTTTTAATGAAATTTCTATTGAAGTTTAAGGGTTCCATGTTATAAATTGTGAAAAGTGAGTTGCTTATTAAAACGTTTGTATTCTATGCAAATTTTTATCACAAATACAATAACATTAAGTGCTAAATTTTAACTTCGTATTTTATATTTCATTTAAAGAACTGAATAATTGCAAATGTTAAGCACTGTTTGAATGGAATGTCTATAATGAAACTTATTGCTTGTATCATTTTATTTCAGACTGAAGAAGAATATGGTGAGTATTTCTGTTCATCCCAATTTTAAGTACGTTATACACAAACTTTTAGATACGTTATACACCAACTTTAATTTCGTTATATAATAACTTTTATGTAAGTTATACACTAACTTTTAAATACGTTATATACTAACTTTTATGTATGTTATACACTAACTTCTATGTACGTTATACACTAACTTTTAAATACGTTATACACTAACTTTTATGTACGTTATATAATAACTTTTATGTAAGTTATACACTAACTTTTAAATATGTTATACACTAACTTTTATGTACGTTATACACTAACTTTTATGTACGTATACACTAACTTTTAAGTACGTTATACACTAACTTTTAAATACGTTATAAAGTAATTTTTAAATACGTTGTACACTAGCTTTTATGTACGTTGTTACTGAAAGGGCAACTATCAACTGAAGTTGACTTTTATAAAATACACAATTTTCTTTTAAATTTAACGAATTCGAACATAGCTGTACTTTTTGTATACTGTAAAGATGTCAATAAAATATGGATAACATGACAAAGCAAAGTAATAACGATTTCCGGAAATATAATAGTTTGTGCTTTGTCATCTTGAAAGAAAAGGGGCGCGTGTTGACCTTGTGCTAGAACTCTGTATTTCGGAGCTGGCAATCCGAGTTTGATTCCGTGCAATATCACAAAATATTCCCCACACTTTAAGCTTTGGGTGCGTTATAAGAGTGACAATCAATCCTTTAGTGTCTATGATGAATGGTAGGATGTTGTTAACTGGCTGTTTTCCCTCTAGTTAAAGCCTGATATGGCATGGTGGTTAAGGCGCTCAATTCGTAATCTGCGGTCGCTGGATGGAAACCTGTCGCCGATCATGCTCGCTCTTTCGGTCGTGGAGGCATTATAATGTGATGGTCAATCCTGCTAAGAGTTGGTAGTGGGTGGTGTTAACTAACTGTCTATCGCTTGAAAATTGGAGACATCGAGTAGCTTTCAGGAAACAAACAAACAGTCTAGTAAGTTCAAAATTAGGGAGGGCGATAAATAACCTTAGTAGCTTTTCTATACATATAAATTATCACCAAAAGATACACCGTTTACATCTAAACGAGGCGATTCGTAAATGAAAAGGGAAGTTATAATAAGGTAAGTGTTAAAAACAACAACGTAATTTTACATATTACTGGGTTGTTGGTTTTTTTTCTCATGGAAATGGATTAAGTAAAATACGTTAAGTCTACATTCTGCTGTAGACAGAGAGTTTTATTGAATATTTACAAAAATTGTAATCTCTATGTAGTCTCTATGGGTTCAACACCGAAATTCTCATTAATTCGTGACTTACCGTATTTTTCGGAATATAAGATTGTTTGTCTTTTTGTTTTTTTAATTTCGCGCAAAGCTACACGAGGGCTATCTACGCTAGCCGTCCCTACTCGTGAGTATGCTACACAAAGACACGTGTGTATGTGTATGTTCTCTATGTATATCAAACCTAAAAACTATACATGAAACAATGTTCACCAAGGACGCGGGATTTTTTTTTCTCCTTCACTTAAATATGTAAAAATTATCATAGAACTGACAGTACATTCGGAAGATTTTCTTCACTCAAGCTCAAAACAACCTAACGTTAAACAATGTTTGATTC